TCCCTACAGCTATTATACATTCTCTTTAAATATTTTATTTTTTTAGAACTCATTCGATAACATGACAGATTTGAAAATATAGTTTTTAATATCAAATTAATTTGATATTAAATATTTATCATTGATAATAATTCATTATTAATTTATCAAGTAGAATTTCTTTAAATTTATCAAGTAAAGTTTTAACTGCATCATTAATATCTACTATGAATTCTTGTAAATTAACTTTCATCTCAAGTTTTGAATTGATTATTGTAAAATAAATGTTTCTTTTTATCTCATAAGCTTTAGGGTTAGGTTTTCTCTTTAATAATACAAGTGTATTATAATTCACATCATTTTTCTTAATCTTATACAAATTAATTCTATTGAGTAGCATGGAATCCATATCATATTATCAAGCTTTATTGAATATCAAATTACATACATTCATATTTATCATATCATAATACATTTCACCTTTATACTTAATAAATAAATAAACACGATATAATATTGAGTTACATTTATCTCTTCAACTGAGTTATATTTATCTCTTCAACTGAGTTAATTCACCTAATCTTATAAAGTTAAGGATGAGATTCTAGTAAAAGTTTCCATTTATTACTAGTATATGTGACAATAATAGTTTCAAAGATTCCATTATCAATAATTATTCTCAACATGACTTTATTTATGGTATATAAGATATAAAATAACTTTCATTGTGAATATTTAGCAATCTTTAGTATTAGCAACATCTTTTTAATTATACAAGTTTGACTCTTATTATTATTATATATACTTATATAAATTTTCTCCATCACCTCCATCCAACTCACACTGCCTTTATCGTTTGAGAATTCTAGCTCATATTACCCTTTAATTGCATTAACAAATTTTTAACTCCTACAATCACTAGAACAATGAATTGTTTCTCTATATTTAAAGCACTTACCATTGGTTTGCCATGAAGGTTATTTAGGTTATTCATTTCAACTTGTTTTTCTAAAGTGTTGTCAAGTTTATTAATATATTATCTTACTAGAGTTAGCTTTAATGACTATGTTGTCTTCTTCTTATTAATAAGATCAAATTTGTATGCCTTATATATGTCTTTCTAAAATGATCAAATATGTCAAATATGTTACTAATACTATCTTTCTTTTTTATTTGCATCTCAACTTTTAGTCATATTACTTACATTAGAGAATGTGAACAACATCTGTACTTTAATCTTACCTTGTATTATTGGTTGTAACCCTCTCAAAAACTTTATAATCGGTTGATTTTTCTTCTCCTAAGTTTGTTATATTTTTTCAGCCTTTAAAATTCAGCGGTATATTTATTAATAGATTTATTACCTTATGAATAATCTTAGTATCGTTGAAATAAATATTGTTTATTGTCAGGAGAAATGAACCTTTCATGCATTAACCGTCTCATATGCATTCATGATGGAATAAATCATCTCTTAACTACATATTTATATAATGTTTCCATCATAAAAAAATTCCACCCTTTAAAATACACAAGATTAGTTTCACCATCGTTTTTTTTACAAAACATGTATAGTTGTTAACCTTGTCATGTCTAGTAATCTAATAAAAAAAAAATTATATATCTAGATCTCCATTGGATATAGTGATTTTTACCTTTATGCGATAATCTTGTGTCTATTGTAGTAGTATATCTTGATATGCTAAGGCTCTACAGTCTTTGGTAAATTTATCTTCATTAACATTTTTTATATAAACAAATAGATCTTAAAAATAAATATGGGGTTAGACTTACCATGAGATAAATTTCTGAACAGATAGATTTAAAAATATAATTTTTAATATCAAATTAATTTGATATTAAATATTTATCATTGATAATAATTCATTATTAATTTATCAAGTAGAATTTCTTTAAATTTATCAAGTAAAGTTTTAACTGCATCATTAATATCTACTATGAATTCTTGTAAATTAACTTTCATCTCAAGTTTTGAATTGATTATTG